GTGACAAGGGTATCTTTATTGTGCAGTGCTTTGTCATTAGGTATGATATTTGTGGTAGACTTTTATAGATACTTTATGTCAGATTAGAGAAATTTCTAAGAGACAAAGTATACTTTAAGTCAAGAAGTATTGCTAAAAATAAAGAGAATACTTTTATAATGATAAGAAAGTGTTCATTAGGAAGATACAACAATCCTAAATTTGTATGCCTCAACTGATGTAACTCCAAAACATATAAAGCAAAATGTTCAGACTAAAAGGAGAAATAGTTCTATAATCATTGAATTTTTTTGTATGCCACTTTTAGTGAATGATAACGGAAGCAGAAAAAAAATCACTGAAGATAATGTGTTCGACTAACATATTTAATAACATTTGCCTTTTGTGTGTGTGTGTATGTGTGTGTGTCTGCGTGTATGAGAGAGAGACCCACACAACAGTTGCAGAGTACATATTTTTTTCAAGAGCACACAGGAAGTTTATCAAAATTGATTATCCACTGTGCCATAAAGCAAGTTCTTTAAAAATGTCAAAGGATTGGGGCACCTGGGTGCTCAGTCAGTTAAGCGTCTGCCTTCGGCTCAGGTCATGATCCCAGGGTCCTGGGATTGAGCCCTGCATAGGGCTCCCTGCTCAGCGGGGAGCCTGCTTCTCCCTCTCCCTCTGTCTGCTGCTCTGCCTACTTGTGCTCTCTCTCTACCTCTCTGTCAAATAAATAAATAAAATCTTTAAAAATAATAATAAAATAAAAATGCCAAAGGATTGAAATCATAGAGCTTACATTGTCTGACCACAGTGAAGTTAAACTAGAAATAAATGAGAGACAACAAGAAAACGCACCAGTTTTTGGAAATTAAACAACCTATTTCCAGTGGTCAAAGAAGAAATCATATTGGGAGTTAGAAAATCTTTTTAAATAAATAATAATAAAACCATGGCATCAAAATTACGGGATCCAAAGCAGAGAGGAGAATTTCTAGCTGTAAGTGTATTTTTTGGAAAAGAAGAAAGTTTGAAAATTAAGTGCCCTAACCTTCCATTTCAAGAAGTTACAAAAATGACAGCAAATTAAACAAAAGGAAACAGAGGGAGGAAGATTATAGAGTAGGAATCAATGAAACAGAAAGCAAATGTATAATAGAATTCTATAAAACTACTAGTAACACTGAGCAAAAACAACAACAACACAAATTACTAATATTAGCAGGAGTTGATCTATAGATCTTAGACATTAAAAATGTAATAGTGTGTCAACTATACTTCAATTTAAAAAAGAATACAGTAAATGTGTAGTGATATAGATACATAATAAAATGATAGGAACAACTTTATGCTAATAAAATTGACAATGTAGATGAATTGAACAAATTTCTCATAAAACCAAACTTAATAAGCTGACAAAATAAAATACAGAATATCTGATAGACCTGTGTCTCTTAAAGAAATTGAATCTGTATTTTTTTTTTTTTTTTTTTGAGACAGAATTAGAGAGAGAGAGAGCACATGAGAGGGGGGAGGGTCAGAGGGAGAAGCAGGCTCCTTGCTGAGCAGGGAGCCCAATGCGGGACTCGATCCCGGGACTCCAGGATCATGACCTGAGCCGAAGGCAGTCGCTTAACCAACTGAGCCACCCAGGCGCCCGAATCTGTATTTTTCATTTCCGTCTCTAGGCCTGCTGCCTTCCCTGGTAAATTCTACCCAACATTTAAGGAGGAAATGTCAACACTAGCTCTTTCAGAGACTAGAGAAAGAGGGAATGCTTTGTAACTTATTTTATGAAGCCAGCATAACACTGATACCAAAACATAACAAAGACATTACAAAAAAGAAAATTTATAGGGCTCATAAGAATATAGATGTAAAAATTGTTAACAAATATTAGCAAATTACATTCAGTGATATCTAAAATGGATAATGACATCACAAACAGGTAATATTATAGGAGAACAAAGTTGGCTAAATATTTAAAATTTAATTTGCTAATTAACAGAATATAGGAAAAATCCCATACATTGGCTAAATATTTAAAATTAATTAAAATCCCACAGATGAAGAAAAAAATTTTGATAAAAAAATTCCACCCTATTTCATAATTGTAAGAAATCATGCTTGTGTGTAATTTTTACTTTCAATCTAATTATGGCCTTATATTTAAAGTGTGTCTCTTGTAAAAAACATATAGATTATCTTGTTTCGTTGTTGTTTTTAAATCCAGTCTGATGATTTTTTGTATTTTGTTTGAACTGGTTTTTGTTCTATTTCTATTTAATGTATTTATTGGTATAGTTGGGTTTAAATCCATCATATTGCTGTTTTATTTCTAAAAGTGTTATTCTTTTTCTATTTATATATTGTCTTCCTTTCTTTTGGATTGATCATGCATATATTTTAATACTATTTTGTTTCTCAGTTAGCTTTTTAAAAATAGATTCTTGTAGTGGTTACTGTCTTTTCAATATGCACTCCTGTTCTGTTATAGTTGACCGTAGGTTAGTATACTTCCAGAATAGTGCAAGAACTAACTTTGTAACTGCATTTATTTTTTCTTATCCTTTTAGTGTTTTTACATGTTTTTATCATTTACTTTCTATCTTGTTTCCTGTATACTCTTTATACAGAGGGTTCACTAAGCTGCTTTTATCTGTGAGTTGGTACCTTTTATCATTATTATGTAATAAATTGATATGAGCTTAACAGCTTAAAACAACATCCATTTATTATGCCACCGTCCTGAGGTTAGAAGTCTGGATCAGCTTGTCTAGGTGCTCAACTTTTACGTATCTCACAGGGCCCAAATCAGAGGATCAGCAGGGCTGGGCTCTGATCTGAAGGCTTTGGGGAGGAATCCACATCTGAGCACATTCAGGATGTTGGCAGAATTCAGTTTCTTGTGGTTTTAGGACTGAGATCCCTATTTTCATGGTGGCTGTCAGCTTGGGAACATTCTCAGCTTCTAGAAGCTTCTCTCCAGTCCTTGAGCATGACCATTTCCATCTTAAAAGCCAATAATGGCACATAGAATTTTCTCATGCTTTAACACAGGCAGGGAGATTTGACACAGCCACAGAGGAAAAGACACACACAGGAGAAAGTAATGTGAAGACTGGCAGAGATTGGAGTGCTGAGGCCACAAGCCACAGAATGGTGGTAACCGCCATAAGCTGAAAGAGGCAAGGAACAGATTGGTAGATGATGTGCAGAGGTCTGCAGAGGGTGTAGCCCTGCTGACAGCTTGCTTTCAACCTAGTGGTACTGGTTTCAGACTCTGGCCTCCAGAACTATAAGAGAATAAATTTCTGTTGTTTTAAGTCACTCTGTTTCTGGTGGTTTGTTATAGCAGCCACAGGAAACCAATACAAAGTGGAATTGCTGGGTTAAGTGGTAATTCTATGTTTAACAATTTGAGGAACTACCAAACTGTTTTCCAAAGTGGTTCTATCATTTCAAATTTTCATCAGCATTATATAAGGACTCTTAATTTCTCCAAATCCTTATTGACACCTGTTACGGTCTGTCTCTGATTATAGCTATCCTTGTGGGTATGAAGTGATGTCTCATTATGTTTTTGACCTACATTTCCTAATGACTAATGATATTCAGCATCTTTTTATATGCTTATTGGTCATTTGTATATCTTTGCAAAAATGTCTGTTTAAAACCTTTGCCCATTTTTCAGTTGTGTTGTCTTTATTGTTGAATTGTAAGAGTTGTAAACTTTTACAGTTTTAGTTCTTCTATTAGGTCTGTGGTCCCTTTTAGTTAATTTTTGTATATGATGTGAGATTTGCGCATAATCACTTTTGGAATACTCTCAACCATTACCTCTTCAAAACTGCTTACGTTCATTCCATCTTCTCCATTCAGTTGCATGCATACTAGATGTTTTGACTGTGTCTCATGTATCTTTTATGATCTTTTCTGTTGCATCCATTTTTGTTTCCAATTCGTGCTTCAGTCTGAATAGTTTCTATTGATCTGTGTTTGAGTTCATTAATCCTGTCATCTGCTTAACCAATTTTTAATTTAAGGTAATTGTATTTTTCAGTTACAGAATATGATTCTGTTTTTGTTTGTTTTTATTATTGCAATTCTTTGAACTTCTTTCTCTTCATTTTATACATCTTTTTTCTCTTTTATTAATTATAATAGTTATCTTAAAGTCGCCTTCTGTTAATTCTAATATTTGGAGCAGCTTTTGTTTTTACAGATATACCCATTTATTGCCTCTTTACTTTAGAAATGTGAATTAAAAAAAAATCTAGATTTTGTTTTTAGCAGGTTAGTAATAACAATGAAGCTGTTAGAAGAAGGGGAAAAGTAGGGTAGGCACTGGCCCTTTATTTCCTGGGTCAACTGGAAGGAAGTAGTTACTTTTCTGGAACTGCCTGTGTAATGTACTGATTATTCAGGAGAGACAGTAAACCACAATAGCATTAGAAAGGAAAGAAGAGATCAGTGTGATGTAAGTGATTAGTGCGGTGCTGGCTCTGTAAGTGCCGTACTTGGTAATTTAATTTGTAAGTGCTGTGTAGAGAGAGGCCCTGAGCTAAATATATTTGGAGAGCGATAATTATCTTGATCTTGTGGCTTAGTAAGTATGATTAAGATCTTTGCTATTTAGCATAAAGCATTTATTAGTATTAATGATCTCATAAACTTTGTAAATTATTTCTCTGTTTTTTGGCATTGATATATGATTAGCTAGGGATATTTTAAGTATGTGAGTTGGGGAGTAGCTTTTAGTTTCATCCCTTAATAAAAATATCATTTCCTGTACATTCATTATTTTGTAATATATTTATATTTATATATTTTGTAATATAGTAGAGATATTGTGAGTTTAGTAAACACATGTTTGTGTTTGCTGTGTTGCTTTGATAGATTCTCCAAGTTGATTATGATTATGATGATAATTCTATAATTCTATTTTATTTTCTTAATTCTTGTGTGCAGTGTACTTTTCCTCTAACTTTCTGGAGTGTTTGTCTTATTTTTTTAAGAACACGGCTTGATGAACTGAGAATGTTTCTAGAGAATGAGACATGGGAGCTTTGTCCTGTGAAGTCAAATTTCAGCATCTTGCAACTTCATGTAAGTGTCTCTTAGGAACAAATGAGTCTGTCTTTTATTTAGTTGTTTTAAAAAAAAACATATTAAAAAATCATTTATAAAATCATTAAATTAAAGAATAGCATCTTTCCTTCCTTGCTTAAAAGTAATAGCCAGCCTCTTTTATAAGAGTGATCCTTTTATGGATGTCAAAATCTGTCTCTTTTTACAAATTCAGTTTATATACTTTAGGAAAACTCTTTTGCCTAATCTTTTTCTTTTGATTTCAGAAAGAGATCTGCTTTATTTAAATTTTGCAGAAAATTAATCAGTTGTATTTTGATGGTCTTTAATGAAAAAACTTATATGCACAGAATGCTTGTGATTTCTTGTTTCTTTGTCATTTCTTAAAGGAACTAAAAGGCTCTTAATTTATGTTGCACCTCATAAATGTACCTGTAGTCAGACAATGCCTCCAAAATAAAAGAGGCATTTACAAGAAATACTCTTAACTAATTTTTATTAGTTAACTAATTCCTTGAATCCTCACAGAATATGTAATCTGTGAAAATATTAACTGATTTGTTTTCCCTTGGTTGAAACACACTGTAGATAAATATTCCTTGTGTGACAGATTGTGTCCTACAAATACCAAATGTCAAAATACAGTGTATAAACATAGGTCCCTGTATAGAAGGTCTGGTATGTTCAGATTTTGCCTTTGGAAGGAATGGCTTGCTAGAAGCAATTTTCTTATTCTAGATAAATGTAAAGAATACATGATTAAAAGCTTTTAATAGGGATAGTCTTTATGCTTATATTGTATAATAGCTTACTTATCCAGTTCTATCATATTCCTTTCCTAATGTGGAAATATTAAATACGGTGAAACATGTCGATTAATAAATGCTTTAGAGACAGCAAAATTAACAATGATTTTAACATGGTTTTAGAATTTTTTTTATTATATTATGTTAATCACCATACATCATTAGTTTTTGATGTAGTGTTCCATGATTCACTGTTTGCATATAACACCCAGTGCTCCATTCAGTACGTACCCTCTTTAGTACCCATCACCAGGCCAACCCATCCCCCTACCCCTTCCCCTCTAGAACCCTCAGTTTCTCAGAGTCCATAGTCTCTCATGGTTCATCTCCCCCTCCGTTCCCCCCCTTCATTTTTCCCTTCCTACTATTTTTTTTTTTTAAACATACAATGTATTATTTGTTTCAGAGGTATAGGTCTGTGATTCAACAGTCTTACACAATTCACAGCGCTCACCATAGCACATAACCTCCCATGTCTATCACCCAGTCACCCCATCCCTCTCACCCCCCACCACTCCAGCAACCCTCAGTTTGTTTCCTGAGATTAAGAATTCCTCATATCAGTGAGATCATATGATACATGTCTTTTTCTGATTGACTTATTTCGCTCAGCATAACACCCTCCAGTTCCATCCATGTCATTGCAAATGGCAAGATTTCATTCCTTTTAATGGCTGCATAATATTCCATTGTATATATATACCACATCTTCTTTATCCATTCATCTGTCAATGGACATCTTGGCTCTTTCCACCGTTTGGCTATTGTGGACATTGCTGCTATAAACATTGGGGTGCACGTACCCCTTCGGATCACTCCATTTGTATCTTTGGGGTAAATACCCAGTAGTGCAATTGCTGGATCATATGGTAGCTCTATTTTCAACTTTTTGAGGAACCTCCATACTGTTTTCCGGGGTGGCTGCACCAGCTTGCATTCCCACCAACAGTGTAGGAGGCTTCCCCTTTCTCCACATCCCCGCCAACATCTGTCGTTTCCTGACTTGTTAATTTTAGCCATTCTGACTGGTGTGAGGTGGTATCTCATTGAGGTTTTGATTTGGATTTCCCTGATGCTGAGCGATGTTGAGCACTTTTTTATGTGTCTGTTGGCCATTTGGATGCCTTCTTCGGAAAAAATGTCTGTTCGTGTCTTCTGCCCATTTCTTGATTGGATCATTTGTTCTTTGGGTGTTGAGTTTGATAAGTTCTTTATAGATTTTGAATACTAACCCTTTATCTGATACGTCATTTGCAAATATCTCCTCCCATTCTGTCGGTTGTCTTTTGGTTTTGTTGTCTGTTTCTTTTGCTGTACAAAAGCTTTTTATCTTGATGAAGTCCCAATAGTTCATTTTTGCCCTTGCTTCCCTTGTCTTTGGCAATGTTTCTAGGAAGAAGTTGCTGTGGCTGAGGTCGAAGAGGTTGCTGCCTGTGTTCTCCTTTAGGATTTTGATGGACTCCTGTCTCACATTTAGGTCTTTCAACCATTTGGAGTCTATTTTTGTGTGTGGTGTAAGGAAATGGTCCAGTTTCATTCTTCTGCATGCGGCTGTCCAGTTTTCCCAACACCATTTGTTGAAGAGACTGTCTTTTTTCCATTGGACATTCTTTCCTGCTTTGTCGAAGATTAGTTGACTGTAGAGTTGAGGGTCCATTTTTGGGCTCTCTGTTCTGTTCCACTGATCTATGTGTCTGTTTTTGTGCCAGTACCATACTGTCTTGATGATGACAGCTTTGTAATAGAGCTTGAAGTCCAGAATTGTGATGCCACCGGCTTTGCTTTTCTTTTTCAACATTCCTCTGGCTATGTGGGGTCTTTTCTGGTTCCATACAAATTTTAGGATTATTTGTTCCCTTTCTTTGAAAAAAGTGGATGGTATTTTGATAGGGATTGCATTAAATGTGTAGATTGCTCTAGGTAGCATTGACATCTTCACAATATTTGTTCTTCCAATCCATGAGCATGGAACGTTTTTCCATTTCTTTGTATCTTCCTCAATTTCTTTCATGAGTACTTTATAGTTTTCTGAGTACAGATTCTTTGCCTCTTTGGTTAGATTTATTTCTAGGTATCCTATGGTTTTGGGTGCAGTTGTAAATGGGATCGACTCCTTAATTTCTCTTTCTTCTGTCTTATTGTTGGTATAGGAATGCCACTGATTTCTGTGCATTGATTTTATATCCTGCCACTTGACTGAATTCCTGTATGAGTTCTAGCAGTTTTGGGGTGGAGTCTTTTGGGTTTTCCACATAAAGTATCATATCATCTGCAGAGAGTGCGAGTTTGACTTCTTCTTTGCCGATTAGGATGCCTCTTATTTCTTTTTGTTGTCTGATTGCTGTGGCTAGGACTTCTAGTACTATGATGAATAGCAGTGGTGATAGTGGACATCCCTGCCGCGTTCCTGACCTTAGGGGGAAAGCTCTCAGTTTTTCCCCATTGAGAATGATACTTGCTGTAGGTTTTTCATAGATGGCTTTTATGATATTGAGGTATGTACCCTCTATCCCTATACTCTGAAGAGTTTTGATCAAGAAAGGATACTGTACTTTGTCAAATGCTTTTTCTGCATCTATTGAGAGGATCATATGGTTCTTGTTCGTTCTTTTATTAATGTATTGTGTCACATTGATTGATTTGTGGTTGTTGAACCAACCTTTCAGCCCAGGGATAAATCCCACTTGGTTGTGGTGAATAATCCTTTTAATGTACTGTTGGATCCTATTGGCTAGTATTTTGGTGAGAATTTTTGCATCCATGTTCATCAAGGATATTGGTCTGTAATTCTCCTTTTTGATAGGGTCTTTGTCTGGTTTTGGGATCAAGGTAATGGTGGCCTCATAAAACGAGTTTGGAAGTTTTCCTTCCATTTCTATTTTTTGGAACAGTTTCAGAAGAATAGGTATTAATTCTTCTTGAAATGTTTGGTAGAATTCCCTTGGGAAGCCATCTGGCCCTGTGCTTTTGTTTGTTGGGAGATTTTTGATGACTGCTTCAATTTCCTTAGTGGTTATAGGTCTGTTCAGGTTTTCTATTTCTTCCTGGTTCCGTTTTGTTAGCTTATACATCTCTAGGAATGCATCCATTTCTTCCAGATTATCTAATTTGCTGGCATAGAGTTGTTCATAATATGTTCTTATAATTGTTTGTATTTCTTTGGTGTTGGTTGTGATCTCTCCTCTTTCATTCATGATTTTATTTATTTGGGTCATTTCTCTTTTCTTTTTGATAAGTCTGGCCAGGGATTTATCAATCTTATTAATTCTTTCAAAGAACCAGCTCCTAGTTTCGTTGATCTGTTCTACTGTTCTTTTGGTTTCTATTTCATTGATTTCTGCTCTGTTCTTTATCATTTCTCTTCTCCTGCTGGGGTTATGCTTTATTTGCTGTTCTTTCTCCAGCTCCTTTAGGTGTAGGGTTAGGTTGTGTATTTGAGACCTTTCTTGTTTCTTGAGGAAGGCTTGTATTGCTATATACTTTCCTCTTAGGACTGCCTTTGCTGCATCCCAAAGATTTTGAACAGTTGTGTTTTCATTTTCATTGGTTTCCATGAATTTTTTCAATTCTTCTTTAATTTCCTGATTGATCCATTCATTCTTTAGTAGGATGCTCTTTAGCCTCCATGTATTTGAGTTCTTTCTGACTTTCCTCTTGTGATTGAGTTCAGTTCCAAAGCATTATGGTCCAGAAATAGGCAGGGAATGATCCCAATCTTTGGTACCAGTTGAGACCTGATTTGTGACCTAGGATGTGATCTCTTCTGGAGAATGTTCCATGGGCACTAGAGAAGAATGTGTATTCTGTTGCTTTGGGATGGAATGTTCTGAATATATCTGTGAAATCTGTTTGGTCCAGTGTGTCATTTAAAGTCTTTATTTCCTTGTTGATCTTTTGCTTAGATGATCTGTCCATATCAGTGAGGGGGGTGTTAAAGTCCCCTACTATTATTGTATTGTTGTTGATGTGTTTCTTTGCTTTTGTTATTAATTGCCTTATATAATTGGCTGCTCCCATGTTAGGGGCATAGATATTTACAGTTGTTAGATCTTCTTGTTGGATAGACCCTTTAAGTATGATATAGTGTCTTTCCTCATCTCTTATTATAGTCTTTGGTTTAAAATCTAATTTGTCTGATATAGAATTCTTTTTTTTTAAGGTTTATTTATTTTAGAGAGAGCTAGGGTGCACGGGGGCTGAGGGGTGGGTGGAGAGGCAGAGGGAGAAGGAGAAACTCAAGCAGACTCCACACTGAACTTGGAACCTGACGCAGGGCTCAATCTCACAACCTGGAGATCACGATCTGAGCTGAAACCAAGAGTCTTATGCTCAACCAGTTGCGCCACGCAGACGCCCCAACATTATTTTAGAATTCTTAAATAAGATGATTCCTTGACATTATTTAGAATTCTAACATTGATTTTAGAATCCCTATTTAAATAATTTTACTTGAATTTTTATTTAACCATCAAATTATGTCTGTATGTATGAACACATATACTTGGTATAATTATCAAACAGTTTTTTACAAGATACATTTGAAATATTTCCATCCAAGTAAGCATTATCTCCTTTAAAGCAGTTACCTTGAGTTTTACAAGATTTTGCCTATAGTTAACAATACCATATTATGCACTTAACATTTTTTTAAGAGAGTAGATAGATCTTCGGGCACCTGGCTAGCTCAGTCAGTGGATTAGGCAACTCTTGATCTCGGGGTTGTGGGTTCCAGCCCCATATTGGATGTGGAAATTACTTAAAAATAAAATCTTTTTTTTTTTTTTTTTTTTTTTTTAAGAGGGTAGGGGCGCCTGGGTGGCTCAGTCATTAAGCATCTGTCTTTGGCTCAGGTCACAATCCCAGGGTCCTGGGATCGAGCCCCGCATCGGGCTCCTTGCTCGGCAGGAGGCCTGCTTCTCCCTCTCGTACCTCCCCTGCTTGTGTTCCCTCTCTTGCTGTGTCTCTGTCAAATGGGTGGATAAAGTCTTTAAAAAAAAAAAAGAGGGTAGATCTCATGTTAAGTGTTCTAACAACAATTTAAAAAAGTAGTTACTTTGAAAACTATTCACAACTGAGATAGTGTTCTCTTGACACCTGTGTTCCTGTAGATTCGGTTTAAAAAAAAATCATCTCATTAAATTAGAGTCACCCCCTGTTTAGAATTATAAAATAATGGCATAATTTTTGAGCATTATGATGGATCTGATTTAATGTGTAACTGCAGTTTAGAAAGAAAATAAACACATCATTTGAAACTTAAACATATGTAATTTTTAATATTATCTTTGAATAGGAAAGATTTTAAATTTGGGATTAACATTAAAAAGACTAAAAGGTATAAGAAAAATGTGTACCAGATTTTTATGAAAAATCATCAAGAGTTTTGTAATTCAAAGGAACTTCTTTTTTTTTTTAAGATTTTATTTATTTATTTGACAGAGAGAGAACAAGCAGGGGGAGCTGCAGGCAGAGGGAGAGGGAGAAGCAGGCTCCCCGCTGAGCAGGGAGCCCAATGTGGGGCTCGAGCCCAGGACCCTGAGATTGTGACCTGAGCTGAAGGTAGATTCTTAACTGATTGAGCCACCCAGGTGCCCCTCAAAGGAACTTTAGAGATTATTCCATCTCTTCCACTAATAAGCGCTGTGGTCTTGAACTTGGCACTGAATCCCTCTGGACTACTTTGGTTTCCTCATCTGGGAACAGCTCTTTAGTTTTAGCATTGTGGTTCTTGTACTGGGGGTTGACTTTCTCATTTTATTGATGTCGAAATTGAGGCACAGAGACATTTCCAACATTATATGGGAAGTTAATGGGTTAATGGCAAACCTTAGGTCTGGAAGACATATCATTTGACTTTAGCATGTGTATTTGTGTTGTCTACTTCTAGGTGTATGAAGAAAAAGAAATGAAAGTTTATAGACATCAATATAACAAAGATTCTAATGTGTTTTTACAGAATACAGTACCTTAAATGGTATAAACATATAATTAATTATTAACAATGATTAATTTTTATTGTGGCCTTTTTATTGCTTAAAATCATATTCTACTAGGTCTTTGCTGCTATGCTAAAATTTTTAGAATTCAAATTTATTTTCAAAAATTTTCTGTACAGTTCTGTAAACTAAGCCAAAAGTAGCTTGATGCAGATAACACTTTTTAAAGTGATATCGGTAACTGAGTTGTCTTTAGGCAAACCTTTGAGCACATATTTTCAAGTTTGTGCTTTCAGACAACTTCCAAGATTTAAAAGTGAATAACCTGATGAATCAGGATTATTTTTTTTCCACTAACTCAACATTTATATTGATGGAATATGTTATGTACTTGAATTTTATTATTGTTGTTAAAAGGTATCTGGTTCCTTTTTTTAATGTCTAGGAATTTAAATTCATGGAACAGTCTCGTTCCCCATCAGTTTCACCTAGTAAGCAGCCAGCCTCAACATCCTCAAAAACAGTGACCTTGTTTGAGCAGTACTGTAGTGATGGGAATCCATTTGAAATCCAGGCCAACCGCAAAGATGAAGAAACAGAAGATGTCCTGGCTTCTAATGGGGTATGTAGTGTTTTTAAAACCTAATGTGGAACATAAGTGAGATTTTCTTATTGAAAAGTGTTCTACCCAGGGAGCAAGGTAATGAGCTAGATTTATTTATCCATTTACCACCCACCTTCCTACCTGTATGCTTATCTACCTGTGATACCACTTGTACAGTAATGGCTTTGCAGCATGCTTTGTTGAAGAGTCCTTTTGAAAAATACATTTTGCCCTTATTTTTACTTTGTGCTCTTACTAGATTGCTGCATGTTCTTACTAGATTACTGGATCACATAGGAGTATAGTTTATTCACTGCACCTTGTTTGCACTCAGCTAGGAACGTGCATGTTGGATAACTCAAAAGTTTCTGCATACTCTGTACATATCCATGATTGACTGTGGAAGTGTCACAAAGTATTAATGTTGGGGTTACAAATAAAATTTAGCAAGTACGGAAATTTGCAAAAATACAGAATCCTCAAAAATGATGATCTCTTGTACTGTGGAATTGTGAAGCTTTTTGTTATAGCCAGGAGAGCATGGTGTGTGTGGATCCCCTTTCTGAAGGTTATTAGGATCACAGTGTGTACAGGTGGATGAGAATGCCTGGAATGCTCATTTGTAGTTATTAATGTGTGATCTAATCTTTCCAGAGTCAGGGTCCACATCTTACTATGACCTATCACACTGCTTTAAGCTCTCAAAAAATGGTTTTTGAATTAGGGGACCAACTTCTTTTCATGTTGTCCTCATACTCATCTCAACTGGCATATGGGGATAAACTTTGTTATAGAATTGTTCTGAAGATTCAGTGAGACAATTTATGAAAGCACTTAGCACTTAACACAAGAAATGTTAGCCATGATTTAATCATATTAATTTATAATATTAAGCGATAATGCTGCTGCCGCTTTCTTTCCTGTGCATGGACTCCACTGTCCCCCCATGCTGTCATGGGGCCATGTTGCCATAAAGACGATGACAGTGTTAGGAAGTCACCCTTCCTCTCAGGAGGAAATCCGCCATTTTCGTCCTTGCTCTCAGTAGTCCCTCCGTGCTCAGTGTAATTTTCTAAGGGTCCCTTGGAATTAAATCTCATCATAATGAATTAGGACATTAGCATGTGTGTTGTTAGAGTTTATTACACTGAATTAACATTTCCACGGTGCCAGAATTGTATACTCAGCCTCTTTATAGTGAATTAGCAAAATGGAAGTAAGTATGATGAAACCACGTGGAGGAAGAGAAGAGGTTTTGTTCTTGTTGTTGTTGTTTTTTGGTCAAATGTACACTCTTTTCCTCTCCTAAAGGCCTAGCATGATGTTTGTGTTTGTTTGTTTGTTTGTTTTCTTTATATGGAGATTTGATTTTTGGGGGAGACATTTAGGAGCTTTTGTAGGCATAAAATGTATTTTATTTTCCTTTTTTTCTTTTGATGGTTAAGATGGGTGAAGAAGAAGAAAATGGAAAGTTAATATTCTTGATGGCAAAATTAGAGATGAGTTATTAAGAACTTTCTTCCCTAAACTACTTCTTAAAAATTGGATACTCTTATTGTGTTGAAAGACTCCAAGAAATGTTGGCTTTTCATACTCATTGTTGAATATACTGTGTTTTCTTCAGTATGAATCTGATGAACAAGAAAAAAGTGCCTATCAGGAGTATGACAGTGACAGTGATGTTCCTGAGGAACTGAAACGAGATTATGTGGATGAGCAAACAGGTGATGCGCCTGTGAAAAGGTAATTGTTCTTAGGTTGTATGGTATTTCACATTTTATGTTATGCATTTAAATAAAGGATTTCCTTTAAATGTTAGGGAAAAAAAATTAAATATTTCGGTAGCTTTTGATGTCATGTGACAAGTCAATATGTTTTAAATTGCTGAAAGGTTGAAAATATAGTTTTTTGATATTGGGCATAATCAAAGAGCTCTTAATTTAGAGAGCAGTGGTTTTTGCAGAAAAACAAACTTCTGATTTATAAAATCAGTACTGCCTTTAGAGGCAATTCCTGCTTCACGTAGGTTAGAAAACCTCAAGGAGGAAAGTAGTTATTTGTCTTGCATGTGGAATTCCTGCCTCAATCTAGTAAATACAGAAAGTCTCCACTCATCTTTCCAGGGTCAATTACATTCACTATTTGGGCCTTCTGTTAAGTTTCCTTCGTTCTTTTATTTCTGTGATAAACTGTCCTCTTCAAAAACTATGATAATTACATAAGAATTTTTTGTCACCTTCTCCCTGTTAAATGGGCCTGATTCTTATATGCAAGTGAGTTAATTTCATGACTAAGTATCAGACATTTAGTGACCATAAATATACTTAAATTTTAATGATAGATTTAAGTATATTTTGCCCCCAAAGTACCTAGTTAGTACCTAATTAATTTGAAACCCTGATTGATATAATCTCTCTCTTCAAAAATGAGCAGCTCATGTGATTGTAGATATATGAACTAGGAAAAATTGTTTCCATTGGTTTTCATGTATGTGTGATGTTTAAATCCATCTATGGTCCATTATGAACAGAATAGAACTGTTTTTGTTGGACTTCTTCATTGGATATTTTGGGTATATTTTGGCTGAAAGAAAAGCTCTAATTGAAATGAACGTGTAGGATAGTGTCTGCCAATATATGTGTATATATTTGCATTTTTGGTAATGTTATACAGACAGTTACCCTCCTAAACTGTCCTAACTTACCGCTAAGAACTATGAATAATATAAACTACAAACTGCATGCAGTCAATTAGTATCAATTCCAACTTCAGAGTATCTCTTGAATTTATCAAAATTTCTTGTATTTCACTGCTACCATCCAGGTTCATGCAAAAATCCTCTCTGTGCCAGATTATTGGCTCAGCCCTCTTACCTTGGCTTTCTGTCTCTAGTTTTGCCCCGTCCTAATCCCTCTTGGATACAAATTTTGATTTTTTTTTTCTTACATAAAAATTTGTTCATGTCATTTTCCTGGTTAAAATTTGCATTCAGGGTTAGGTTCATACTCTTTAGATTTGATTGCCTTCAGTGATCTGGCCTTTCTTTACCTCTTTTCGTGTCACTTTTCCCTCAACCCACTCATTCTCCATGTGAATTCTTTGTGCTTCTCTGAGCACACTCACTTCTCCTACCTCTGACCTTATTACATATTATCCCCTTTTTTTGTGTACTTACCATATAACTTCAATTTTTTCTTTGAACCTGGTGTCGCCCCCAACCCCAGACTCTATCATCTTCCCCTATACTTTAGATATTAGATTTAGATTCTAAGGAGGGTATTTTTTCATATTTATAAGTCTGAAATCAGGATACTTGGTACATTTGATATATAATTTCCCTGGAACATCTGTTTTTTGTTTTTTATTTTTTTTTTAAGTGATATAGCTTCTTTTAATGGTTGATAATGAATGTCTTAGAATCAAAGAAATACAGTATGGTACTTTATTTCTTTACTTACGAATTTCTCTTCCCCTCTGGGCTGTAAGCTCTATAAGGACAGGAGGATCATTTCTATATCCCCACCTAACACACGGTAACAGTTTCAGTAACTAATTAGTGAATGAAAGATAGATCCTAATTGGAATAACTTACTGATTTACTAGTTGACAACCCTAATTGCAACTCTGTTTTGTTTTTCCATATTAAGCGTTTCTAGAGAAACTCTAAAAAGCAGGAAGAAGTCAGATTATAGTCTAAATAAAGTGAATGCACCCATCTTAACAAATACAACATTGAATGTAATAAGACTTGTTGGTAAGTAGCCACCTTTTAAAAAAAAAAAACACTATTAGTTAAATTAGTCTACTTTTGTTACTTTATTGGGGTTTTCATAGTACACTGCAGTGCCCACCATAAGGAAGGTTTTAATATTGTCATATGTCAGTGCTTTTTCATCATAATTGTTCAAATAGTATAATACTAACAATGTTAGTTTTTCTTTTTTGGTTAACTACTTAGTATTTATGTCTTCTACTTTTTCTAAAATATTTCAATTAATTGAAATGTAATGAAAAATTCTCTATGTGAGTTGGAGGTATATGTAGGATGATGATAGTACCCGTTTTACGTTTACACAATATTTTGTGCTTAATTGTTTCATTGATCTTCACAATCTTCCTGTCAAATAGGCAGAGTGAATAGTGATTCTCTGGTATTTTCAGACACAAGAGTTCTATAAGCTGAATGTTCACACCATAGGAAGAGTTGTTCTTATTACAGATAAGACCTTTATTGATGATTTTGTAGAAGGCAAATAACATGAAGAAATGCCATTTAAAATACTTAGGTTTGAAGATGATGTGGAATTTTTAATGTCAGTATTTCAGCATTTTATATGCCATCTTAACCTTTATATCTCACAAGTCTGTACATTTGACAAATAAGTTATAGAGATATCTTCTCAAATTAATTAAGTCATCTATTCCAGTCAGGAATTGTAATGTGTTCTATAAAAAAAAAAAATCTCCGTGTTCTGTTTATAAGGAGATGATAACGTCCTGCTCTCTAGTTTGATTACTCTTGGCTCTGATAAAATGGTCTGTGTTCTTGAAGATAATCCTAAATTTTGTTAATGAATAGGGTAAAGCAGACAAAAATGTTTCTTAGAAGTCCCACTTTCTTTAGGAAAAATGGTGGAAAAGAAGTAATGAGTTGGCAGGAAAAGGAAAAGTACATATTTTCATGACACACAGAAAAATGACAGATTCTAAAAAGTGTTTTTTGGCTGATCATTGCCAGGGAAATTAGCTTTTCTAGTTACTCTGTGGAATTTATAGAACGGAAACTGGAAGGGTTCTGAGAGCTCACCTGCTATAAATGCCTGTAAAACTAGAATTTCTTTATCTAATGCCCCCAAGTTGTAGTGGCCAGCTAGCCTTTGTTTCATGTCTTGCAGTCCGTGGATACATTATTATTTTGTAAGACTACTCATTCTACTATTAGACTGATTTAATTGGTAGAAATCTCCTCCTTATGATAAACCAGAATTTCTTTTTCTCTGTAATTCTGTTGGTCTCAGTTACACCTTTAAAAGCAAAAAGAGTAAATCTATACTTTTTTCTCCTACTCTTCCCTGTGATGACTTTTCAGGTGTGGGTGGTAGTTATACTGTCCTTCTTCCCTTATGCTCCCCCAGTTCATTCTTCAGGGTGAGTGTGCTCATTTTCCTCATGCGGTTCTCACTGATAAATATTCCAAAATCCTGGTCATCCTCCTCAGCCTTTTGGACTCAATGTAGTTTTTGGTTTCTGAACATGCTGCTTGAGATGTAGTTTAATGAATTCATCTTTTGCCTGGTTATGTTGAAGGAACAAACCACTGTAACACATGAGTGGCTTTTTTTTTTTTTTTTAAAGATTTTATTTATGTATTTGACAGAGAGAGCACAAGCAGTGGGGAGTGGCAGGCAGAGGGAGAGGAAGGAGCAGGGAGCCCCATGCAGGGCTCGATCCCAGGACCCTGGGATCATGACCTGAGCTGAAGGTAGTTGCTTAACCAACTGAGCCACCCAGGCCCCCCGATGAGTGACTTTCAACCACAAAAGTTTACATGATGCATAATGGCTCCTGATCACCTTACTTCTTCTGTTCCATGTGTCATTCTGAGATGCAGGCTGAAAAAATAGCACCAGTTTGGAACATGGGGAAAAGAGCAAGAGCTGAACCATGTAATGACTCTTAAGGCTTCCGCTCTGATGTGGCACCCTGACTTCCTCCGCCATACGTCCCTGGCCATGGCAAGTCAGGCTTAACTATTGGAGAGAGAAATATGTTTCTGCCCCAGGAGGGCACTACAAGTTCAGGGCATTGGACAAGGATGCATAATCTTCTTACAGGGAAGGGGAGTGGGTGGAGATAATTGGGGAAAATAGTACAATCAACCCCATGGAAGTGGTGGTTTATATTTTTTACTTCACCTAGTTCAAAAAGAGCTAGAGGTCATCATGTTGCTTTTACTCTAAAAGACATATATTTAGTAGAATCAAATAAAAAATAAGGCTAACACAAAATTGTGGAGGGGGAAATCACGTTTCATTCAGTTAAATGCAGACAACAAATGCAAATCTTCAATTCTTGGTAGACATAAGGAAATGAAACAATGCATTCTGCTCTTCTCATTATGTAAGAAGGGGATCGAATAACGATAGAAATGTGCTATTGGTGCTAAATTCAGAAGTCAGTAACAACAAATTCTTATCTAAGGATTACTCATTGACATAGTGGACATTGTTTTCTAATAGTGGATTTAAGCAACTGGGAAAAGTTGCATTTTTAGGGGCCTTTGGTGTGTCAGCCCTATAAAGCAGAACAGCCTGAATAAAACTTTACTCAATGAAGAGAATCTAACCATTTTAATTTCAGCCTTCACCACCACCAGATCTTTTACTAGAATTGCAATTAGGAAACAATGCCTACTATGCTTTTAACTCTCCCATCTTCCCATTTAGAGCTGGGATTAGGTGCTTCCATTATTCCCTCCAGTAGACTTTTATGCCTACCGCTTTCTCTCCCTGGGATGTCTTTATCTTCAGTTTGTACATATTCATAAAATAGAGCTTTAAGAGAACCACTCACTAAGGCGTCTCCAACCACTAAATGCTATTCTATCCCCTGTTACTGCATAGAGGTGCTTGAAGATAATAAACTGGCAAAGGTAATGTCTGTTCTTACAAAGCCAGAAGTACAGTTGTGTAAATAAGATTGATTAATTTTGGGTGCCTGGGAAGATGAAGGAACTAATTACTCAATAGTTGGGAGGCACATTTTAGAACACTAAAGGCATATTTAAAATGTCCTCTTCAAGTAGTATTTATTTGGCAGGTAATTAGGAGAGATTAAACAAAAAAGTGTTAATGGGGCTTCCCAGCCCCAGGTGGTGCCTAAATCTGTTAGAAAGGCCCAGGGAGCCGTTCACAAGTGCAGAGAACTAATCAGAATCCTTGCTTGTGTAAAGAGAAAATTCTGTCAGCCTGACAATTTCTTGCAGACAGAGGCAGAGAAATTTTAAGGAATGTGTCTCATCACTGAAATAGCCTTGCTATTCAAAGTTCTCTCTCCTGGAGGCAGCTCTCACTTGAGCAGGTATGATAGGTCTGAGAGGGGCAGAAGATAGGTTGCCAAAATCCATGCTTGTAAAAACTACAGACCGTAGGATAAAATTATTACATTAGCAGCTGAAAAAATAACACACCAGCACATCATGCATCCAGATTTAACATGAAACCAGAATAAAGTTATCTTTTAAGAAACTTAGTATTTTCATATGCAGTGTTTAAGGAAAAAATTTATCATTGTTTAGATTACATTCCAATATATCTATTTCTCTAAAAATACTTTTGTCATTTATATGAAATATTTTAAACAGTTTTAAAACACTTTCTGAGCTGGTAGCTGTATATACAACATGATATTTTGAGAGAATGATCCAAGTGTCATCCTTCAGTACAATGTACAAGAAAATGATATTGGAGATTTGGGGGTGGGGCTAAGAATATACAAACAATAATAAAAATAAATAATACAGTGATAGAATGATAAAATAAAATAATCGATTAAAAGCTCTCAAAGAATGGAATAAAAGCTAAGGACTTAGCTTACTAATTTTTTACTCTGGTCCTCACATTGTTCAATGCGTTTTTCTAAATTGTTTGAGCTGAACTGACTTTTCCTTCCTTTCCTTTATGCCTCATTTATAGCATTTCTAGTTCACTTTTATGTGCTATTTATATCCACTGATGATGTCTCAACTAACTGTACTGTGATAAAAATAATGAACATCCTTCCAGCTTGGATTCTGTTCTTGCTCTTCCCCATCAGGTTGTCAGCTCCTACAGATGAAAACATTTGGAGTTGGAGTCACCTTTGCAGCATATAGAGCATACAGCCAAGCACTTGTTCACTTTCATAGATGCCCAATGTACGGGACTGACAAACCTTAGTGTTTAACATCTCAACTATTGGAGAAACACATTTTCTTCCTCTCTTGTCCTGATCCATAGTTGAGGAACACACACTTTCAGCGCCTTCTCTGTACCCTGGTATTTACTCCTCTGCATAGGAGTGGGGCTCACTAATTGAATTTCCCAGGGACACCTTTCAGGTAGTGATGGCATGGCTCTCTGTGCCCCCTGCTGATGAGCTGGGTAAGGCAGGCCCACTGTTCCTCTTGGTTCTAGTTCTCCTCCATGCTGTTCTTTGGTTGGTTTCCTGTGGCTTCTCCCCATGAGTGTACTGGACTCCTGGTCCAGATTTTAGGATAATAGTTTAAACAGCGCTTCCCTTTTGAAGCTTTTCCTCATCAGGTTAGGTTTCTTTTATATAGCACTCTATAATTCTCCCTTATTGCATTCATCATAACTATAATTATTTTAAAATAACAGCAGTAGCTAGGAGTTCTTGTTCCCTTGTTATAGGCAATGTAAACACTCTACATGTATTTTCTCATGAATTCTTCACAGTACCCTTTTTATGTATGAATCATTAAAGCCCAGAGATAAATAACTTGCCTTAATGTCACACAGCTGCTAACTGGTAGAACCCAGATTGTCTGATCCTAGAGCCAGGAGGCTCTTTTCATGCTTCACAACCAGTAGAGGAAATTGGGAAAGTTAATTCTTCTACCTAGACAAAGTTCAGAGAGGTTACAGGATAGGTTAGAAGCAAGAATGAGAACTTCTCGCAGATGATCATTTGGGAAGAGATGCTTTTGTCAGTTATCTTGAGACAGGAGGGAAGGGAGGCTTGGAAGACAAGTTC